CTGGATAGCTAGGCTGACAACAGAAGCCTCCACTTGGGTCGCTGTCTAGTAAGTGGAGGTTCTGGCTATCTCAATCTATCTTACGACAGAATCCCGAGAGAGAAGGATGGGGCAAAAGAGCTCATGAAGTGGAATTTGAGCCAAGCGCAGCAAAAGGGAGCTAAAGATATCCCAAGAAAGTTTGCTATGCTTTTCTTCATAAGGCCGATGTCAGACTTTGCGAATCGCGCGATTCGCTAGCGTCTGCGGTCGCGTCGCGGCCAGTGAATCACTCAATTGGCTGGTACCGCAACGCGACCGCGGACGCTAGCGAATCGCGCGATTCGCAAAGTCTGACATCGGCCTAAAGAAGCACCCTACCGACGCCTCGAAATATCACTATGAGGAGCTCACACCTCAACCAACTTCCAGTAACCACCAACACCGGTGCGCTGCATCTGCAAATTACTGATGTAAATAGGTGTATTCACAGTCGCTCGTCCGATCGTAAGGGTCGTAACGATTGCATAGCATTAGGTACGTATCGACGTCTGACGTCCGCATGCGATCGTTACGTTCGCAACGGTCGCTCACCAAAAATTGTTATGATTAAAACACTTCAATAACCACAACAATGGAAAACAATACAACGGCTCTATCAACTGGAATTAGGGAAAATAGGTGACATTTTCTTCAAATTCAACAAGAATTGGCGTGAAGGACAAAGAGTAGTCAATGAATAGCGGTTACATAAGATTGGCAAAATGGATGTCAAAAATGTTTTTGACATGTTTCAATTCAAATGCATTGCTTGATTGATAACGTAACAAAAAATAACAATCAAATCAACAGAAGATCCAACACAACAAATGACAGTAACTCAATCCATACTCTTTAGAAAGAGAGGATCTAAAAGGTATTGGCACGGCAATCAAAGGATTCTGTACTGATGTGCGAATTATGATGACAATGCAAGATACTTCGTCATTTGCTTCTTGCTCTTGTCTTTCGACTTCTTCACTGTCACATCGCTTGCCAGACTGTCTTGCTTTCTGACTTTTTTCCTACCCAAATTCTGAAAACTTGCTGAGAACCATAGGATTATGCGATTATAACCATTCGAACAGACTGACCTTTTTCTTCAGCTGTGTCTTACTCATACTCTTATGTCGGAGCTTTTTGCCCAGGAACTTGGGCATAACTTTCATACCTGATTCGTGAACCTCTCCTATTGATTTTTTCACCTGGAAAACAACAGCGGTTACTTAAAATCCAGATTCTGATAAATTGAGTGCTATGAGAAATGACCAACTAACCTGTTGCTTGACCTTATCGCTAAGCTCCCGGCCAACCAATGCTTCACCTTTACTGTGCGCTGAGCGTCGTACCTGTTAAGTCGAAATCAAAAGAAAAAATCCAATAATGGTATAAAATCCAACAAAAAATCTACTGAAGCAGAACCAGTACAAGCAAAATAAACTGGGTAGTGTACCTTTGCTCTGATCGCCATCAGATTCTCAATGGAGAACTCGACTATTGGTCGCCGTTCGTTAGTAAATGTGTGAGGGTTGTTGTTAAGTTTCTGGAGACATTGTAAAGCATCCTTGTGCTCGGAAAAATTGACGAATGCGAATCCTTTTGATCGAGGATTGCCCTTAAAAGCCACATCATGATAGCACAAAAGACAAGAGGACTAATTCAAATTGTATGTCAGGCAGGACACGTGCTAATCGCAGCGAAATGCTTGGACATCGAACGAGCAATGAGGGGAAGTCAGGCAATTAGCACCAAAAGCTAGCGTTCAATGAAGACATTTCCAGTCGTAACTGCATTCGTAAATAGCACAGAAATGAGTGAAAGAATGAACACCAGCACTACTCGCGAAATGTTCACTGATACTTATTCAACCTTAGCGTCCAACTTTGAAGTGTCTCTCCAGATACGACATTCCGTAATGTGTGAAAGTTTTCCAGCAGCTTCCCGGCATATCTGTCTGAGCTTATCATCAGTAACTGATGAAGGAAGATTGTGGAGCATCAGACGTGTGGGTGATACAAACCTGTAAAATGATTCTGGAAGCACGCTACTAAACATTTGAGAGCCTCACGCGCTTAAGACGCGTATAATTCCTCAAGGTTCTCTTCAAAGAATGACTAGTCAAAACCATACATGTGCAAGTTCTCCAACTTCTTTCTTGATAATTCAGCTAATCGCTGTCTTTTTGCAGCGTCCTCTGAGCTCATACCATTTGCGGCGGATGTCCCTTCACGGATCAACGAAAATCGAATGAGACGTAAATTCCTCTTGTCCTCGGGCACCTGTAACGAAGTGTTCAATCAAATGAATTTTCCAACCTATCGGTCTTCTGAACTGCTAAAAATCTGGAGCACGCATTATAGCTTTGGGTGGATCACTTTGAACTCTTCAGAAAGATTCTCAATATTTCCATTGCCTTAAACACGCCCACACTTCCGACCAGAGGGACATACAATGGACGGAAAGTTTCGTCGCTATTCTTCGTCGTAAATATTCTCCACTACTTCTAAGGAAAACATGCCAACAAAGTACAGAGATATATCTGCATAGAGATGGATGTGATTGGAGCGTAAGAAATTAATAGGATGCAAAGGAAAGAAGTGGGAGAAACCCTTGATTATCCATGTGGATTCGCCCTCTTCTCCCTCAAATGAAAGGTCCCAACGTCTGCAAACTGCACCGCAAAGGAAAAGACTATTCTAGAACTTGTACTCTATAATGTGTAGATCAACACAATCGTCACAACTACTTAATGCAAAAAAAAAACATTGAAGAGAAAGCGATTCCATACACACAAATAGAGGAGAGCGAAATATGCTCAAAAGCAGATTCGAATAAGAGACATAACAATACCTTCAAACTTTTCT